TAATAAAAAAATATGATTTGTTTCGAACAAAATAAAAATCATGAAAACTCGAATTCAGAAACTTTCCAACTCAAAATATCTTGTTATTTTTTTAAATGCATTATTTATTCATAATGTGGCTTCATGCTTTGCGATTTACTACTTGCAAACTTAGTGTGGATGCCTTTAGTTTGTTTTAGTCCAAACTATTAGATGCAAAATTGAGTCTATTTGTTTTTGGTGCCACTTTTGCTAAATGGTTTTGGCAATTTATAAGCATATGTAGCTAATTTATGCGTAACTATTGTTTGTCGGTTGTTAAGCTTGCGTGGCTGAGTGGATAGAGCGGGAGATTCAAATTTTCTTGATTGCAGTATGTAACAGACGCGAAATTTACACGTCGCCGAGTTTTTTGCTATTTCGAGGCTTATTTCTACTTTTTCTTATTTCACTTGATAGAGCTGCTTTTTGGCCGTGTTCTCGCAAGTGTTTGCGAAGCGCAGCTTCGCCTCTGTGTAATGTTTTTACCTGTATCGGTAGTGTTGTCGCCTTAAGAATCCGTTGATGATTACTCTTGCTATAAACAAGGGTATTGCAATCGGGTACAAGACATTTTTTCCCATAAATAGCTTTAGGCACAGAATGGTCAAAAGTGTAGGAATAGTAAATTTCAGACATGCTCACTTTCAAACATACTCAATTTCTTGAAAATTCGAATAAATCTACTTTCATTTGGGTAGTAAATATTCGTAGTCCTTTACCGGTGTAAGTTTGTTTCAAAAAATTTTTCTTGAAAAAAAGTTTGACTTTTTTCGGGTTTGTGGTTTTCAACTTAGTTTCCGTGTTTCACTTCTTGTTCTTTCAAGTGAAATTCTAATTATTTGGTGTTGTTTTTTCGGTTTTTTGTCAAACTTTAAGCTTATTTTGATGTTGAAACTTTTTACTTTTTTGAAAGCTTTTAACTTGTCGTTTTACCAAGCCTGATTTTTCTAAGTTTTTATTATAGTTCATTTTTCGATTAAACGGTTTCAACCTATTTTTATGACACAATGAACATATATTGCGTTGTTTCGAGGGCAGATATCCTGATCGACAAGATTTGGTATTATTACTTTTGCGAAAGCAACTGTATCGAAATCGGGAACTCGACTTTTTCCAGTAAACAACTTTTTTACACGTTTTAAATTTTCTTCCATTTGCTTTTTATTTGAACCTTCATAACCTTCAAGTTCATAACCACTTGGCTTAGGGTTAAAGTTGTTGCTTTTGTACGCTAAGGTCTGGGTTCGACTCTCGGCGGGACCTTGTTTTTTTTAAAATTTTTCTGCAATTGAAAAAAAAATCGGTTAAAACTGAATTGTTGGACTTCCGTTATTCTGCTAAGTTTTTGTCGGCTTAGTTGCCACATCACACATTTTTTATCCATTAAGCAATTTTCAATGCAAGTGCAAGTGCTGTTCTTTGTAGCTTCAAGGAAGTGTACTTCAATCTTTTTAAATTTTTTTTAAAAATTTGTTTTCGGCTTAACAGGCGCCTGCTCAAAGATTGTCGGCTTAGTTACCACATTACTAATTTTTGAGACTCAAAACTTAAACTTTTTTTTTTAATTTTTGGATTTCCATTATTCTGCTAAATTTTCGTCGGCTTAGTTGCCCTATCGCAAATCTTTTTTGTCTCGTAAACAAATTTCAATGCAAGTGCAAGTGCTGTTCTTTGTAGCTTCAAGGAGGTGGACTTCAATCTTTTAAAAAAAATTTAAAATCAATTTGTTTTTCGGCTTAACAGGTGTCTGCTCAAAGATTGTCGGCTTAGTTGCCACATCACTAATTTTTGAGATCTAAAACTGGTAAGAATTTTTTAAAAATCATGTTTCGTTCTGCTCAACTTGTGTCTGCTCAAAAGTTTCCGGCTTTATTTCCTCTTCGTAAGTTTGTTTCCGTTGCTTATTTATTTATTTTTCAAACTCCTGGCATGTTATCCTGGAATTAACTTCTATCAAAGCATACAAAATATCAATTTTTGGTAGAACTAGTTTTTTTTCAACAGTTTCCATTTTTTCGGCTTCTTATGTTTTTTTATTCTTCTGTTTTCTTTTATGCTCGCGAATGGCTACTCTGTCAAGTATTTTTCGTTAGATGATATTGATATCTGCTGTAGAGCATCTGTCGTTGGTAGGCGCAGACAAAATGCTCATCTAAGGGGCACGGGGGTCGGGTACTGGCATTCAATTTCCTGATAAATGTTGTGATCGATGGGTCCTTCATGTACTAGACTGTTCATTGTTTGATTATTGTGTTTGATGATTACGTTCGAAGATCGATGTCTTGAGTGGTCTTGCTGGTGATCACAAGAATCCTGCGTCATAAGATGCTGCTGCATGGGTAGTAGTCCATGACTTTCTATGATTCAAATTGTATGATTCATTCGTTGAAATCAATGAGATTGTGCTGGCAATTGCCTTGGCTGGTGATGTTTTGTGTCCCTTGAAGCTGCCGTTGTTTTAGTATGCTGACATCAATTTGAACGTAGATAGTTAAGTTCAAGTTGTCTCTGGGTTCAAGGGTTCAAAATATTTCAAGCATACTGCTGATGAACGTTAAAACTTATATGTACAGTCAATTTCGCGAGTTGATGGCCACTTGAAACTGGATGGAGTTGTCTAACAAAGTCGTTGATAATGATTTCCGTTGATCTGCTTTGTCGTCCTAGTTCAGATTAAGACCATTTATCCACGGGGGAAAGGACCAACAGAAGAGCTGTACAGCTCATCACCGCGAACCGCCGTTGTGCCCCTGTTTAAGAACTACATGCAAATTTTTTGGTTGTTTTTCTGGGCTGGTTAATGTTGCTTCACCCTCAAGTAACGTGCACGGATCATGGTGGGCCTCGTACATCCGACCTTTCGATTGAGAGGCGGAGACGTAACCACTTCATCGCCGCTCCCCTAAGTTTACTATTGATGTTTGCACTGGGGTACCGTTTCTGCAGTCGAGTGATCCGACGCTGACCGTGGTTGACAATCGTGGTCTGTTGCTAAGGAACTGTTCTTCTTCTGTTGTCACATATCATCTTGTTGAAATCATTAACAATGTCGTCATGTTCACCCTTGAAGCGGTTGATGAGTCGATCTGGAGCTGGATTGACGTGTTCAGTTGGTTGGTCCACAAGATAGTGGGAGGCATCTTCAAATTTTCTGGATTTTTCCAACTCTGCTTCTTTGTCCGATATGTTGTAGCTCAATTTATTGTCAATGATAGTTTTTAGTACTCGTCTAAAAAGCGCTCTGGTTGTGAGATGAGAAAATGTTCTAAGAATGGGTATTGTTCTGTTGGGCATAGTTTTGACCTGATACGAGCAGTCCTGTTATGTATTCGAAGTTTATAATATCCGATATGCAATTCAAGAAATTATGAAAAATATTTAGACCAAAAGTTATTCAAATCTAATGGAAATTTTGGATAAAAGCCACAACTTCCCATTTCATCGAACAGTAAATTTCATCGAACAGTAACTTTTATCGAACAGTAGTGAAGAAACAAATGGCTGCCATCACTGAAGAAGCAAAACTCAGAATAAAAATTGTATGCTAGATCTATGCTTTAGTCTATAAATAGTAGAGCTAGTTTGGTTATCACGCAAAGAGGTGCTTCTGTTTGTCATTAAACGTCACCTTTCGGTCAGGGGCGGATTTAGGGGAAGGGCGGGGGGGGCGAACGCCCCCCCTCAGGGATTCGACCCCCTACCGACCCAAAGGGTCCCCCCTTTGATACTTTTTCAGAAATCCATTTTTGCCCGACCGACCCTAAAATTTTTCTAAAGGCGCCTTTGGCGCCAATATATACTAACTTTGAGGGGGAGCGCGCGCCAAAAAAAACGCGATTTTTTTGTCAAAATTTATCAAAAAGTGCCCAAAAACGGCTTTTTTGACTGTTTTTTCAAAAATTTGCGTGCGGCGCAGAAAATTTTGCCAAAATAAGGGGAAAACACTGCTTTGGGAGAGCTCGAAAAATCAATTTGGTCGACCTAAAAAAAAAAAGGTCGTCAAAATTTTCGAATTTTTTTTTGAAAATCCGCCCCCCCCCCCTCGAGAAAATCCTAGATCCGCCCCTGCTTTCGGTTAAAAAAATTTGGTGAAATGTTTTTCTTGTAAAGTCTAGTCTGCCTAGCTGTAATTTTGTGGTAAGGTAAGAGTATAAAGAAAAATCAAAGAACAGTAGTTTTGAGACCAGTAATTTAAGAATTGATCAATCTTAGTGCACCATTGAAATTACTGCAAAAAGGATAAAAAAATACGGAAAAAATTGTAAACATCCGACAATCGTACAAATCGGTTTAAAATGCGAAGTTTTTGAAGAGCGCGCACAATAGTCCCATCAGCAGAATGAGTCCTGGCAGTGCATTAACCAAAGCGTTCTCTTCATAAGTGACCTCTCGTTCCTCGGTCATGGGAACTAGATTGCGCATTATGTTCTTGACTTGGTTGATCACGTCTTCTAGTTTGAGAGATAGCTCGACGTCTTCGTAATCAACTGAAGTGTTCAGTTCTTTTTGCATCGTGAACAGCGAACATGAGACACTGTTTAAGGGATCTTATTTTTAAATTATCCTGCCGTAGTATGACAATTGGATTCCTTAAAACTAGCTGGGGGGGTCCCCGAAGACCTTTTTTAGTGCTTAAAACCGTCCAAAACAATGTGAGCTTTCGTTAAATTTTGTCCTTAGAAATTTATCAAAAATTTCGGGACCCACTTTTCGCTTTTTTCAGGGACTACCAAATAGTAAATCTAGTATTAAATATGGTGTAACAAAATGAATCTTAGTTGATAAGGAGGTTTTTCCTGCATTATAAATAAATATGACAGATGCAAATAAAATCTACCAGAAAACAAGAATCTTCACTACCTTAACAAAATTACTTTATTATCATCTATGATATAAGTGATCATCAGCGTCAGTCGCGGATATAAAGGGGAAGGCAAAAAAGAAAGTTTTTTTTTTAAACCATCGATATTTCTTCTATTTCAAATGGAGAGATAAATGACAATGAGATCCCTTTCAAGCTGAGCATAAACTGTGTTCATTCGGTAATTCGACTCATTTCTCGCATCGCGAACTTCATTCTGCAGTGAACGAATTCTCTTGTGCAATCTGTTCATGATTTCCGACAGACGACTCGCAATCTTTTCAAGGTCATCTTTTTCCGAGACAACCAAATTAAACGCGTCTTTGAGAAACTTATTAAGTACTTTGAACGCGTGTTCTTTAGCTTGATTACGTAACTCTAACTTGAGCTCCATGGCTCGTATTTCGTCTTTCAGATCTCGTTGATGTTTCTGAGCCTCTTCGATCTCCGAACTCAGAGCTTCGTTTTCACTCAATTTTTGTTCCAGATCTCGTTTCGTATCTTCCAGCTTCTCCTTAACAAATTACAGATAAAATACGATTTTTCAATTATGCTAGGAAGAGGCGATAATTTTGTGTTACTGAACAAAATTGCAAACAAGCGACAGTTGTGAACTTTCTTCCGCGCGAGTTGATTTCATAAAAATCGGAACTGGCAAGCTCGCAACTCGAATCAGCCCACTTGCGCTTTTAATTTTTCCAGCTCTCAATTTTTCCCAGTTTTCCCATCACTTAAAATCTGTGTCTGAGTTAAGGCCGTGCTGTGAAATTTTTATTGGATCATTAAAATTGAAAATTTACCAGACATATTTTATGTCAACTTCTGAAAAAACTGCTTGAATGAATTTCAAAAAGATGTTTCCAAATTTTCCTCAGCAAACAGAAACAAAAAATTACTAGGAAGAAAAAATGACGAGGTCTCAGTGGAAGTCATTTGACGCGTTCAGATTCGATGTTTGAGTTGAGCCTGATAAAAATCGGACTGATAAAAATTGTGTCGACGCGTCAAAAAAAAGTCAGAACCAGTCAGAAAAAAAACATCCCAGATACTGTCATCCCAGAAGGCTTAGAAATTCGGAGACAAATTGATTCCAATTAAAATCTTTCAAATATTAATCCGAACCTTGCTTTTAAGCTAAATTTAACTGCTGATTTTGCTTCCAATGAAACCCTTTTCATTACGAGGCCAAACTGTGTATTTTGTGAATTGTAAGCGGATTCTGCAACAATGACGCTCCCTTTGTCCTTCTTTTGTTCTTTCAATTCCTTTGATTGTTCCGACAAAATTTTAACATATTAAAAGATTTGTGGCTAGAATCAAGAAACATATGGACACAAAGATGTTCGCCTATCCAGTGCACAGTTTTGCCGCGTAATGTTTGAAGCAAAATCATAGCTTTGATCATTTGCCGATGAAAAGTTTTGTTTTCGTCAAACTATTTCTTTTTTTTGTTTAATATTCATTTCACTTTAGTTTGGAATACTGAAACTGGATGGACGTTTTTTCAAATAGCTTTTTTTGCTTTGAACGCTTTTTTTAGAATTTTTTCGGGGATTCGACCCCCTGCCGGCCCAAAGGGTCCCCCTTTGTATTAATTTGAGATATCCATTCTTGGCTGACTGACCCTACAACTTTCTAAAATATACTAATTTTGAAGGTGGAGCGCGCGCCAAAAAAAAACGCATTTTGTGGTCAACATTTAACAAAAAGTGCCAAAAAGTTTCCAAAAAAGTTGCTAATTTCAAATACGATCGGGAAATTTTGAGAAAATACCCTTTAAAAAATCATAGATCCGACCCCAAAAAATTAGTTTGCTTTTTTACTTGCTAAAACATTCAGTATACTCATTAAAATAGCAAGATTGTAAATCAATTTGGGCTCAAGATAAGTTTTGTCACAATGAAAGTATATGTTTCATCTGTTTATGACTTAGATTTTTTCCGTTTTCTTAAGGTTTTTTGTTTATAAAACCGCCAGAAATGCTTCTGCAACAATTGATAAACCCGTAAAGCTGTTCAAAAGAAGACAATTGATAAACCTGTATAGTTGTGCAAAATATAAAGATCGAAATTGTGTGAACAGTAGTCGATTAATCAAATCCAGCATTATATTTTCTCGCCCGGTTTTCAATGCAAAACAAGACTGCTCGAACATGAGGGCAAAAACGAGAATGTTCCGACTGCACCTTAATCGACTTCGAATAGTTTTTGGGAAAAGAAAATATTGAAAGATTATAAATTTTGAACATCATCAAAAATCAAGTGCGCAAATTTCAGTCGTACGAAATTAATACGACCGATTAGCTAGCCTCAATTTTTTTTGGACCGATTTCGTTCTGCGGGTTAATTTGCCACTCATAAATAATTCGCGTTACGCTCTCACCATTACGAATAAATTTTTCAAAGCGCACATAATTTAGTCCAGAACATGGCCAAATTGCAATTTTCAACTCCCCAGAATTTTACAAAAAAAATTGGTTTGTTCAAACTATTATTTCGATCACCCAAAAATTGATTTAAAAAAACACCCCAAGCATGAATATTCCCGTTTCTTCGAAAGTTGGTACAATAAAGACAGTGAGGCACTAAAAAACGGTGTATCAAATAGCATAAGCTTTGCTAGCATTGCTTATGTGTTATCGTTTTTTGTTACTAAATTTGCACTTCCGGACGAACAATACATATAGCCGATCTGAGAAAATAAGATGATCATATTGGCATGGCCATTTAGCGGCAGATGCATGACTATTCATTCATTTTCGTTATGTTTTTTAAAAGAAAAAACTGAATAAAAAAAAATCAATTCTTTTGTTGTGCTCATTTACAACTAAATTTTTAAAACTTAAAACAATGAGATTGATAGCCAAAATGATGTACGTAGTATTAGTATCCTTGAATCTGTTTCGCTAATATGTAATTGAACATTTTTCAAAAAATTTTAAATTTTATCTTTATGCTTCCCGAAAACAAACGACTAATTATAGAAAAATTTAGAAGTATAATGAAGCAGTTGTAATATCAGACCGGGAGTGAGCGAATTGATAGATTATTTTACCCATCTCCACTAAGAATTAGTCTGAAAGTTGGAATTGTTCAAACGAAGTTTTTTTTTACACATTTTTTCAAATGATATATTCCAATCTGAATAATTATAGAGGGGACTTAAATATGATCTGAATTTTTCGATGTTGATCCAGCTCTTCGTGTTGTAATTAAATTTGCGAAGAAAACACTCTTAAATTTATTGTTCCCTCTCATCGTTTTTCCTGCGACCTCTCAAGATTGTCGGGACAAAAAAGTCTATAATTGTGTTTTACCTGACTGGTGTGTAGCTGCATCTCGAGATGATCTATTCTTTCGTGACACAGCACTCGCTCTCTTTCATCCGTATCCACGCATTGCGTTATTTCCTACAACATAAAGTCTTTTTCCCGTTGAGTAATTTTTTGAAATCTATTTCATACATTTGTATATGCATTTGGCTGGCGTATTATTATTCATACATCTCATCAGCGATCCATCTAGGATTTTCTCGAGGGAGGGGCGGATATTCAATTAATTTTCGAAAATGTTGTTGATATTTTTTTTAGGTTGACTAAACTGAATTTTTTTTAGCTCTGCCAAAGCAAAAAAAAAAGACCCTGTTTTGGTCAGATTCTCTGCGAGGCAGGCAAAATTTAGAAAAAACAGGCCAAAAATGACATTTTTAGGCTTTTTCTGGAAAACTTTGACCAAAAAATTGCGTTTTTTCGGCGCGCGCTTCCCCCTCAAAATAAGTATATATTGGCACCAAAGGCGCCTTTAGTAAAATTTTAGTGTCCGTCAGCCAAAAATGGATATCTCAAATTAATACAAAGGGGGGACCTTTTTTGACTAACCTTTTTCTATTTGTGAAAGTTGTATGACTATAATTTTTGGTGAACTCCAGCCAGCGGATTTGCCCCCCCCCCCCCAAATCCGCTGGCTGGAGTTCACCAAAAATTATAGTCATACAACTTTCACAAATAGAAAAAGGTTAATCGCACACTTTTCATGCAATTCCATAAGTACAGAAAAATGCATGAAAGTTCCATGATTAGTAATTTCTCATATATAGAAAATGTATGACTAGAATTTTTCCGTAAACCAAAAAATTTAATTTATTAAAAGATTAATTTCTTAATAATTTTGGGATGTCGTCGTAACCGAACACAAATGACACAACCATGGTTTACTCAAAACTGGGTCACCAAACTTTTGGCCGCCTTGCCTTTGCAAGGCATTGGAAACTACCTGAGTGGTTTATTAGTTGTCTTACTGAAATCACATACTGAAAGAGTCAAACTTTTAAATTTTGGCAAAACTTTTCAAGAAGATCAATTTGAGAATTTATTTTTTTAACTAATCAGACATTGATCCAGGCATAAATAAACATGCTATACAAAACAAATAGGAATTTTTTGGAAAATGTTTGTTCGAGTACAAAGTTTGTTTTGCGGTTGAAACACAGAAGCGCAGAAATTGTATCATTAGCATTTTTTTGACAAAAAGGTTTTCTTTTTTTTGGACAATACACTGACTTTTATTTCAAAGCAAGAAAAAAGATGACACCATTTTAGCAAAATATATAAAGTTTGCATGATTAGTGTTTTTTAATAGACTTAATTTATAGAATTGTATGAGCAGCATTTTCGGTCTATGGAGGTTAACCGGGGGTGCATCTCATAACGTAAATTTTTTTTGTGTCGTCTTAATTTTTTTCGCCCAAAATCAAAAGTTGAATATTTTGAGTTAAAATTTAGCCAATCAAATTCAGGCACAAACTGAAAATATTGGGCTCATTTTTAAAATAAGTAAACAAATCAGCCAAATCGACTATAAAAACAAAAATTTCCGCCAAATTTTTGAAATTTTTTCAAATCTACTGTTGAGCTCTGCGCGGATCAAAAAAATTCATCAAATAGCTCTAGGACAAAACAATTGGCCATTCTCAATTTTGCTCGAATAGGTACACTAGTTTGGTTTTGTTAGAAATGGGCTTATTATATCAGTGAATGCAATAGTGTTAACCAAGCAAGGGCGATCATTGTTTTGTTTTCTACTTGCTAATTAAAAGACTCAGGGTGAAAATTGATAAATTGATTCATTTGAAAAAATAGATTTTTTTTTCCATCAGAGTGCAGAAAAATTAAATCTTTTGATACTGGAAAACTCTAAACTGCTAGTTGTTAAGCTGTTACATTTATTAAACAGAAATGAATTCCCAGCTTAGAAAAACTGCCATTTTGACCAAAAATAATAATTCATTTGGTACGAGGGTGTAATTTTTTGTAGGTACTTCAGTTCAAACAAACGCAATCTATTGTTCACTGTTCAAATCAAACTGGCAAAATTAGCAAATTTTAAACTTCCAAAAACTACAAAATAGATCTTAATTAGTTTTTTTGGTTTCAGTCGAATTCAAGACAAAACTTTTTAGACGGTAAAAATAAATTCGTAAAAAGTTATGAAATAGGTATGAGCAAAGCAAACCCCAAAGATTAAATTTTGTCTTTTTCTTAAAAATTTGCAGCAAGAAATCATTACAATTTCAGCTTTTCTCTCAATTTTATAGCCACAGGTTGTGGAATTAACACAAACTAGAAAGTTCAGTGTCTAATAAGGGATTTAGAAATTCTTTTTTGTGCCTCGATTCACATGGGAAGGATTTAATTTGCCGCTTACTTGTTACTCAGGAATTAAATCTTTCATTATGATCCCAAATGGACCAAGCTGACCATTTTTAAACACGCGTGTTTTTGCAAATATTGCTGCTAGCATAAAATATTTTTCTACTTTTGTGCTCAATACTTCAAATGGTTTTTAATGAAACCCATTTTTTGTCAAGATGTAGAGTCGAAATTCGTCAGATGAGAAACAACCGCCCTAAGCATAAATATTCGGTCACTCTCTTTGAAACTCCAAATGGAAATATCACATTAATTATTTCAAATGTTTTTTATTCATTTCTTTAAACAACAACACTGCTCGTATTTATATCAATTCAACTTCCTGAATGTTGCGATTCTTCTTTATAAACAAATAAAACGTTTTTGTTTGTGCAACGGAAGAAAATAGGAAAATTAATAGTTTCTTTTCTTTTATTTGTTGAATTTATACCCTCTCAAGCTTATGTTAACTAAAAAAGGATGTTTTGGAGGTTGTATCTTATTGATAAAACCAAATTATTTGCCCATTTTAGTTTGCAACGCATTAATTCACCGCTTACGCGTGTTTGGTGTGCTAATTATCTCAAATTGGACGAACTAGTTATTTTCAAACACCCATAATTTTACAAACATTATCTTTCTGGTGAATTGAAATTTTGTCAAAAATGCTTAGTGAAAAAGTTGAAAATTGAACAAGTAAAAGAAATTTTTTCGAAGGTCGGAACAATGAACAATTTGCAATAAAAAATGACTAAAATTATCTCACAAAGCGAGCCCGAGCGGTTTTATTCTGCTAGGCTATTTCAAACATGAAATAATACTTTGCTCTACAGCTTTGCTTCTTGCTCTGTTTTTCATTAACCAGTTGGTGGAATTTTTTTTCATTTTATTGCCTTTACTTCTATTTTTTGGTAATTATGCGGAAAATTTTGTCCCAATTTCAAAAGAGTGTCAAGTTTCTCATGTAGTTAGTGTTTTAAAACAGGACTAGAGTTGAACTCAAAACACATACGTCATAGCTCCTTGAAAAATGGTATTATCATTAATTCGACCCAAAACTTCAAAATTGGTATTAAAAATACAGCTATAAAAATTTTTGAATTTTTGAACTTGACTGACTGAAACTTAAATCGATACCTCAGCAATGAATTGGTTTTTAAATTTCTTAGGCAAAAAATTTAAAATGATCCCAGTTTCTTTCAATGGCTAATTCTGGCGCAACATTTAGAGGTTGCGTGGGCAAAAATTATGAATTGATCAAAAAAATTTTTATTAAAAAAGATGACAGATGTGCAATTTGTTTATCATTCATCTTATCAATTAAAACAACTTGATAAAACAAGCCAATCATAAAAATTAATACCATTATTTAAAAAGCATCAAATTATTGATCTGAAAACAAATAAAACGAATTGAATCCCGTAAATGACTCAAATTTGAGACGAGAAGTTTGAAAAAATCATATTGGAAGAAATTGCTTTAAAAATGAAATTTGACCAATCAGTGTTTTTGTATTGCATGTAGAATTGATAGAATTTTTCCCGTGAGCTTTTATGAATTATTATATCTTTACTTTTAGGTTCTAGTGTCAAAAAGTTTAATGAGTTTTGCTATGTATCAAGTTAAAAAATATCGATTTTTTGATAAAAACAAAGAATAAGATTTCGATGAATTTTTTAAACACATTTAAAAAAAAATTTTCTTAAGTTTTTGTAGCAATTTCTCACGTTCAACCAATAAAACATGACTGAGTGAGACATTTATATTATTTGCGACAAGGAACATAAAATTTAAGAAAAATTAGAGTATTGGAAACGAATACATTGAAAACCATATTAAGTTGGTCAATTCTATGTTTAAAATTGCCGCAAAAAGTCGCTTTGGCAATTGTTTCTTCTATTTTTAAAAATTGAACAGAAGAACATTTCCCAATAATTGTGATTTTGCGAATTTGATTCAAACACATACAGCTGATGATAAAATGAAACAAGGTTGCTCGTATCATGGTTAGTTTCCTGAAAGTGCCGACTGCTTTTCAAGATCTTTGAAGCATTGTTCGCTTAAAAATGAATGAAGTTTTCATTACAAAAAAAAATATTTTTTTAAGTATGATTTTTTTTCAAATCAATCCTCCACGCGCCATACAGAGTAAAAAATGTAATTTTTGCTTTTAAAAAAAGGAGCAAATATGACAAATAGCTTTCCAAGAGGGATCAAATTTCCGTTTACTCGTCGATTGGCACCACCTTTAAACCCACGAAACTTTATGAAAAAAGTTAAAAGTAAAACAAAAATTTAAAATTGAGCTAACCAACAATAGTTTTCAGATGATAGAGACCAAACTGCCAAAAAATGGCTAGTCATAAAATCGAAATTTGCCTGGAGAAAAAAAAACGAAAACAAATTTTCTGTAGCTTTCTTCGAAAACCGGAACAAGAAACCTTAAGTATACTGTCAGCTATCAGCAGTTAATGAAAAAAAACGTAAGCTCGGATGATTCAGTTTACTAGAAAACATAATCACCTTTGAAATATCAGCTCAATTTAAAATCATGTGTTGCACGAAAAACATGGTGGTTTGCTTGTTATTGGTACGGAAAAGTCTTTGTTACAAGTGACTAACTTTTCTTACTATGAAAACTGACACAATTTGTTTCTGTAAAAATTTACCAGTATTGAAATAATGAAGCTATTTTGTAGTTTTGGGAGGTGTTGAGTCCTCCGATAAAAAAAAACACAACACTGTTGGCCCACGGCACATTCTGGTGTAAATTCTTTTCCAGGCACATTTTTTACTTTTCGTTTTCCACAATTTATAGTAAAGCCTTGGTTCAACAATAATCAAAACTGCTCTAAAATCAACCGCAGAAAAATTTATTAATCATTTGGCGCTTGTGGATGATTTATGTAAGAAAAAAAAGCTAACTAATTGCTCGCCGAAGTGCAAAAAAAACTTGGGCGTAAAAGCGGTAACTTTTTGCTGTTTTTGCAAGTAAAATTGGGATCTGAGAAAACTTCCAAGATTTTGAATGTGCATAATGGTTAATAATTTTAATTTGATAATCACATCAGGCTTCATAAAACAAAGTCAGTAAAATTAATAGCATCATATTAAGAGGAATGAATGTTTCCGAACATGTGTTTCGAAGATTTAATAAAGCGCGTGCAAAACAATTAATTGGTTTTGGGCTTCTGGCTTTTGAAAACACTGTTCAATCAAGGCTTGGTCAACTATCAAATGCTGAAAAAGTTGTGAAAACATTTTTGTTTGGGCCTAAATACGAAAATGATATCACTTATCTTACGTTCAGTAGATGATGTTATTCCGTCAAGTATCTACTGAAAATTTAATTCAAAATTTTTATTTATGCGACTGACAATTTTTACCCTTTCGATATGCAAAGGTATTGCAATCGGGTACTATACTTGTTTCCCGTAAACAACTTTGTCCTCAGGATCTTCACGTGAGGAGTGAAGATCCTGTGGACAAATTCTAGATAGTCTTCACTTCTTGAGATTTTGAGATTCTTGAAAATTCAAATAAAAGTACTAGCTAGTAAATAATTGAAGCCTGTTTCAAGTTGTAATTATCTTTTCAAAAAATTTTTCGTCCTAGTTTCTATCGCTTCATTTTCCATTTTTTAAACGCCAATTTTTATCTGGTAGAGACTTTATTTATATAATTTCAAAGCATGGGTTTTGTTCCAATTTAAATAGTTTTTAGCAGAACTGAAACTAGATTATTGAATAATTTTTTCGTTTTTTTTTGTTTTGTGTTTAAATATTCAAACTGTTTCAGTTTTTGCTATATCGAATTAGTCTGTTTATTTTGCGTAATTTTGAGGGCAACATATATTAATTTCGGATTAATTGTTCCAGTTTGGATGGGTCGTACAAGCTTTCAAGTTTATTGAAACTTTTTATGACAACAGTTTTGTGTTCGGCTCAAAAGAATTCGACACAAAATTTGTTGCCTTTGTTGCCACTCGGTAAATGATTTCCTTTTTAAAGGGCTGTTTGTGAAAATCATCTGATACAAATATGAAATTTTTGTAGCTGTAAATTTTCAACTTTTGTCAAGTTATTTTTCAAGTAATTTTTTTCCAACAAAACTTTCCAGATTTTTTTTTGACTTCTGTTTGCTTTTCATTCACTAATTTGTAGCGCAATGTGTTTTTTCGCATCGCAATTTTTGCGAAACTCAACTTCGCCTCTGTGTTAAACATTAGTTCTAAGGATGAACTACGAGCATTTATGTTTAAAAAATCTAACTTCAATTAAAAGTTGTGCTTTTGCAAAGATTTACTTAAACAAAAAAAAATCAACAAATTTGAAAAAAATATATATGATATGTATTTAATTGATAACGCGGAACTATTCGAACCGAGTGGAAAAAATTTTTGTGCAAAAAAGAACTTAAATGAATCTAAATTTGTTTAACTAAGTCATTTTCGTATACTTACCCTTACAAAAAATCAAATTTCACTTTTTTAACCAACCAAAAAATTCCAAAAAAAAATTGATCGATTTTTTAATTCATATTTGAGCATTTGATATTTTAATACAATGTTTTGCGGAGAAGAAACCTAAAATAAGCCAGATAAAAGAACATTTTTCAGGCTAGCTGAGGTTACATTGTTCCCATATTGTTCCCATGTCTGCAAGCTTCAGGTTACTTTTGGCCTATGCATTATAACATTATTCTGCACGTGATAATAATAATGGTCCAAAATTTCCACTTTAATTCTTTACATTTCTGTTTTTTAAGCGATGTTGAGAGGTTTTCATCTTTAAGGAAACGAGGAAATTTGAAAGAGTCGCTTAGTTTTTCTCCCACCTGTACCACATTCTGAAGTGAGGACAGTTCCTGCTTGAGCAGTTCCAGTTTGGGTCTCTGAGTCTTGAGACACTTCTGAGAGAGACTGCGGGTGAGGTCGTTGCTGCTGCTCACCATCAGCTCCAAGTCCTGGATGCACCGGTGGTACTTGCCAAACACCAACTCTACACACGAGTGAAAATATAAAGCAAACTTAATTTTTTAAAAAACATTACGAAGCCAAACTGTGCATTTTGTGATTTGTAAGCGGATTCCGCAAAAAGGACGCTCCCTTTCTTCTTCTCTTGTTTTTTCATTTACTTTGATCGTTCCGACAGAATTTGAGCATGTTTAAAGACTTATCTCTGGAGTCCAGGAACATACAGACACAATATTGTGCGCCTATCCAGTGCACAGTTTGGCCTCGTAATGAAAATTGTGGGACATACTGGAGAATTTCAGCGCCTTAATCGGACAAAAAATAGTAATTGCCTCTTTTCCTTTTTCCCACCTGCGGGTTAAGTAAAAAGTTTGTTCACATTTGTTCTAAGAATTTACAAAATTTACACGCAAGCATTATGTCAATATGCTGTACTGTTACTTGGAACGGCTGCTAAAACCGAAATATTGAAAGTTTAAAAAAAATAAAAGCCGAAACTTCGAAATTGCTTCCTTTTGCGAAAAACAGGCAGTCTCCGAAAACTAAAAGACAAATTTAAGTTCTGTTACGCCAGGGAGACAAAAACACGACTAAAGACAAAACTAAAAACAAAACAGTCAATTAAATTCAATTCTGCATCGCTCACAAGATCTATGCATTCGTGATAACAAGTTTTTAACGAAAGTTTACTGGCACTTGGAAATTTAATTTCAACTGTATTTTTTGTTGTTTGCTCATGACGAAACCACTCGATAGGCAGCTAACTGGCCTTTTTGATGTTCTTCCAAGCTGGGATTTTTTTCTTATTTTGAGATATGTAAATCGGTGACCGCTCGACTAGCATAAAAGTTTGAAAACATGAAATTGTATTGACTAGCAAAATTTTATAGCAGTATTTCTCAGAAATACAAAACAATAACAATGCCTTTAAATTGAAAGATGCATTTCTGAGAAATTGAAGTTTGAGCATTTGATAAACTAAGCAATCAAAAATCAAATTAATTTCCTATTGTCGTGATCAGTGACAACACGATCTGTAATGACTTGAGCCGAAGACTCATCGTCGCGCAAATTGTGAAAGTCTGAAAAAATTGATAAGATTTAGTTAATCCCCTCCTATTGCATCAGGGGGGAGGATGGGATCGTTACAAGGAACAAAATTTATCGGATCTAACAACCTCCTCCCTTTCAAGAAGGGGGAGGAGATTGTTAAGTAAATTAAGTTGGCCAGATCTTTTTAACTATCCCCCGTTACTTTTCAAAAGGGGAGATTTGTTAGTGGGTACAAATTTTATATATGCTTAACAATTGAATTATATTTACAGGGGTGGTAATTCGTTACTAGTCATCCTACGGAGGAAAATACTTGAAGAGATCCAGTTGGTCGAATTTCCGACCAATCAGAATGAGGTGGAGATTCTTTAGTAAGTACCATAGGGGGATTTTTAAGACGATCCAAAACTTCGCATATGTTTAATTATTACTTTATAGGGGGCCATATATTGTGAGTAATGATTTTAGTTTTGACGAATTGAACTTAGTATTTCGATTTTAATGCTAATCGATACAATTTCCAATTTTGAAACTTTTATGCTAGTCGAGCTTTATGCTAGTGGATATAATTATAAGTATTTATAATTTTTAAAGTGCGGAGAAGAGGTAAAAGAAAAAATGCCTGGAAAATTTTCAGCTTGAATTAAAAATTAATTTCCGACGTCAAAATGAGCAGTCTTAGATTAAATGTTAGGTCGAATTCGTTAATAAGAATGATTTTTTCATAATATTCGGCTTTAACGTTCTCTTAATAAAATCATGTGAGTAAAGCAAACAAAAGGATCTAAATTATGTTTTATTTCAGAAAGTAAGTAGATAGGAGTATTTACATTATCCGGGTTGACCTCCATATACCGAAAATGCATATCATACAATTACATACAACAACAATTATTATCATACAATTCCATACATCAAGTGTATGGAAAAAATGCTTGTCATACAATTTTCATACATTTTCAAAAAACAATAGAAAATAAAAACTAAACATTTTCAGTGGCTTCTTGAGAACAGTTGAACAGGATGGTAACGAAAAAAAAACTGACTTCAAAATTTTTTTAATGCTTACCATACAATTTCCATTTATGAAATTTGTATGACAAGCATTTTCGCCATAAGGGATAATTTTTTCGAAATTTTTTGCGAATCACTTTTTGGAAACTTCAAATGAATTGGTAGTACTTTTTTCAAATGATGAGATCAAAATGCGAAAACAATTCCGTTCAAATCCAAGTAAAGGAGAAGCAATCAAGAACAAAAAAAACAAACTTCGTTTATTTTTTTCTCTCAAAAATGCTTTGATGCAAGCAACATTTTCTAGAATTTGTCACCCTTTAGCGCTATTAGGCATTGCAGATAGGTGATAAAGCCCTATAAATATGTAATTTAATCGTTTTCCATAGAAAAAAAATGAAAAACGAAAAAAATATATAAAAATTTTGGAATTGTTTTTTCTTTTGAGCTCACAAATTTTACATTTTCTAATTCCATACCCAAACGTGATATCTGTGTTTTTGCAATGTTTTTAAAATATATATATGGTTGATATGCAGTGAGAGAAACCGAGAGAGGGTATCATTTCAATTTTTTCAATCTTTTTTCAATTTCTACCAATTTTTAAATCTGTCAAAATGCTTTTCAAATTTCACAAAAATCACATTGATTAGCAATAATAATGCCGTCTAAACCATCGATTTTTTATTTGAGCAATATTTGTTTGTTGGGTGTCGTGGCAAAAACTAACAAAGTGAAACCAAAAAACTTTTTTTTTCCAGTTTTTAAAACTTATTAATTTTCCAATCTGTTTTTTTTTGCCATCGACAAAAACATAACAGAGCTTAAATTTGATATACAATACGCTCCTAACTGCAATATGAATGTGACGATATGATTTTTTTACTTAAAAAAATTAAAATTTTTTGAGGATTCGGGCTCGCTCTAAATGTTGGCTGAGTTTTTTATTTTACCTCTTTGTTTTTTGCAATCTGCTTATAGTTATCGGAAGAATAACAACAGAGTTTAATGTTTATAAGTAAACGTTTCTAGTCACAATATTTTTAAGTAAAAAAAAACAACCTTTTTTCGGTCTTCCGGCTCGCTCCAAAGATTGGCTTCAAATTTTAAATTTTACCTTAATATTTTTTCAACTGTTGATAGCTATCGGAGTAACATTAACAGAGCAGAGTTTTGATATATAGAACGTTTCTAAAATCAAAGTAAATGTGACGATATAATTTTTTTTTTAAGTAAAAAAAATTTCGGGGTTCAGGCTCGCTCCTAAGATTGCTTAATTTTTTGTTTTAACATAATTTTTTTGCTATCTGTTTATAGCTTTCGGAAGAGCAGAGTTTAATTTTGATAGAGAAAACGTTCCTTAGTTCGAAGTGAGATTGACGATATATATTTTTTTAAGAAACAACCTTCTTTTGTCTTTCTGGCTCGCTCCAAAGATTGGCTAAAATTTTTGATTTAACTTAAATTTCTTTGTAATCTGTTTATAGCTATAGTAGGAACAGTAATCAAACGAGCATAAGTGGAGTGAATTACTACGAACATTCTTTTTCAAACCTAAGTCGCGAATGAAAGTGCTACTCTGGTGGCATTTTTAAAAAGTTAGGCTGTTTTATTCGTATACTAGCAAAAGTTAGATATGTTCTAATTAACTATATGCAAAGTTAGTGTGGTTGCCTTTATGTTTTTACATTCCAAATGATTAAATGCAAATGATTAGATGCTTGATTTTTTTGTGCATTTTGAAGCTCCTGAATGTTTGCTGTTTTGTCGCTCGTGTTTGCGAATCTGCAGCTTCGCCTCTTTGTTGTAGTCCTTATAATGTTCTTTTTCAGAGGAAATGCATTTGTGGATGTCAGAACTAGTGGATTCACGATGTGATTACCGAACTGCAGGAGGTTTGCCGGAGATAGTTCGCACATATATAAAGTTTTTCTTTAAAAAAAATAAAGGTTTTTTTATATTTTTTTTGAGGTAAACCCCCTCTCCCTCCAGTATTGCCATCTTAGATTTTTTTTCAGGTTTTCTTCTCTGTTCAGAGATTGCACGGCTTATTAAATGGGCTTTAATGTAATTTGTGCCGCATTTGAAAAAAAAATTCCGAGAACTGTTTGTCATACAATTTTCATAAATGACAAATTTTTAGTCATACAATTTTCATTTATGGCAAAAATGTTAGTCATACAATTTCCATTTATGTCAAATAGTTTATTATAGAGATTTCATGCAATTTTCTGTACGTATGGAATTGTATGGAATTGTATGACAAGAAATTTCCCATGCATTAGAATTGTATGATAAGCATTTTGGTCAACCCGGGTATCTAGTATAACCAATTCTATAAATCAAAAATAATGTCAATAGTTTAAACATTGCTTGATTTAAACGAAATTGGAAAATATGTATCGAAATGAAGGCAAAAAGTGGAAAAAAGATTTCACTATTTGAAATAGCAGAGAAGATTTCTGTATTTGCTATTTGAATGAAAATTTCTCATTTGAACTAGCAAAAGAAAAGTTATTTTTTTATGGGAAAGAAGTAACGGACCAAGTTAACATCCTCCCCCCAAATCCTTTTAGATTGGAGGATGCTAACTTGGTTCTGAGTTCGAATTATCAGCCAATCAGATTAGAGCATTTTACATGCAGCGCTAAGTTGATGTTAATTAAAATGAACGCTGGTGTGGAAGATCTTAACTTTGTCTATTTGGGGGGAGGATGTTAATTGATCCGAAGTAACTACCTGACTGTTGGATGATGAGTTTGGTGGCATCGTCCTCAGAGTCCACCAGTCCCCTCAGAGCTCCCAATTCCGCCTGCAGATGACTGTTGCAGACCTGAACAAACAAAACTCCAGAAAAGAATTGGGACCAAATGAACTATCCCCCCTAAACAAACATAGGGAGGAGATATTTCACTTGGTTTCAGGAGCGAATTTAGGGGAGGGGGTGCGGACGCTTTTTTCATCGTGGATTCGACCCCTCTGCCGTTTTCTCTTTGTACTAATTTGAGATATCCATTTTTGGTGACGGACCTTAAAATTTTTCTAACGGTGCCTTCGGCGCCAATATATACTAATTTTGAGGGAGAGGCGCGCGTCCAAAAAAACGCGATTTTTTGGTCGAAGTTTTCCAAAAAGTGCCTAAAAACGCTTTTTGGCCCGTTTTTTAGGCCCAAATGCATGACCATTTTGTTTAACTAGGGATTTTCTCGAGAAATGTTAGTCATCCAATTTCCTAAGATAAAAAAAGTATGAAAAATATTTTTCCATAGCTTCCATGTGTGGAATTGTACTATGGCTGTTTTTGGTCAATCGATTCGCACCCGTTTTTTCAACGTTATTGAACTAAGAGATCATAATAAAAATAAAAAAAAATATTTTAAGAGCGTACGCATGTTAAATTTTGGTACCGAAAGTTTTCTAATTAACGAAATTGTTAACGGATTACTTTAACTATTTCACCCTTAGGTTTCTAGTAAAGAATTGCCACAACCCCCCTCCCCCCCCCCCCCCCCTCCTATGCTGAGCTACTAAGACGGGTAAGGATATGTGAATTTTGCACACCTAGTAACAAATCTCCACCGCTCCCCCCCCCCCTTTGCACAAGGGGATAAATAGCTAAAGGAGATCCTTATTAACCTCGAGACGGTCCAACTTGACTTTATAGTGGTTGTTCTCTTCTTGCAGACTGCTGAATTCTTCCCTCGAAAGACTGAAACATCTGACAAGACCACTCATGGCAATCTCCTGTCCAACTATCGAATGGTTCTCACGACTAACCACACTCACAGTGCTCACGAGAACTCACAACTCAGGATGAAATAACACAGACTACGATAAAGACGGTACAAGGCTTAAGACTCACAAACTATAATACTAACGAACCACGCACAGTGATTAAGCAAACTGCGATTATTCAATGCGATTGCTTTTTCAATGATTTTTTGTTTGCTTATTGAGACGGAAAAAAGCAAGGACTACCATTTCAGTTTTTAGAATTTTTAGAGCAAGTAAAAACAGTCCTATAAATTGATCCGATTTTGAGTCCAGTTGTAAATAATCAGAGCGCAAAATTCGATTATCGCCCGCGCGATTGAAAATGGACATCTAATGGTGTAATCTGCCTTTGCTTTACCACCTAATCCGATCTTGGAAAGATGCGAGGGTCGGCCTAAAATCCCGCCACGAGACCCGCCGGTGGGGGAAAAGGGAAGCTTGAAAAGAATATCGATTGACGCTTAAGCTCCAAATCAACGGCTGAATTGACCTAGCAACCCTGCTTGTCAATGTTTATTGACGTATTGTACTAAAATTTTAACCCCATTTTCTCGATGAAAACACGACTGGTAATATGCGTGAATTTAGCTTTTGAAACTTTTGTTTTCTGCAGTTGATGCTTGTAAGCTCGACATTTGACCTTTTTGTCTATCAAACAAAACTAAATTAACTTATACAATATTTTGGAGATTATACCCTTATTAAAGTTTGTTGAGCTACGTAAGGGGCTCACTTTGATATAATTATGTCTGTGATCGACTGGGTATTTTTGGCGTAATTTTTGATTAACTAAGAAAAGCCAAAATGACCCATTTTTGGGGTAAAATATCGGACCCGAATTTCGCAAAACAAATTACACCATATTAATTCTGCTAAAATTCTAAGCAAGTTTTGTCTCATAAGTTTTCACCTAAACTCAACCCAATTTGAGAAAATGCGTTTTAAGTTTCAAGTTTAACGCGTTTTTTCCGGTTAATTTAAATCAGCACTGTACATTTTCAAACAAAACCGATATATAACAAGAAGCTGTAATTAACTAGATGTTAATGGATGTGAAAACCCTATATCCCGTCTTTAGAAAAAGTTTGATCTACCATTTTAAAAAAAATTTTTTTATGAGGTATAAGAAAAAAAAAGGTTAAATGTTTGTACAGACCTGACATTTGCCGAGATTTAGAGGACAAAACTAGGTTGTTCGTAATAGTGAATTGTTAGATTGGTTGTTTAGATTCTTGGTTATTTAGATTTAGTTAGTCAGGCTCTGACTAATAGAAATAGGTTTAACAAAAGTGTTGAATAAAGTTTACATCTAACAAGCGATGAAAAGAACATAAGAGTGAATCACACACAGTGTGTCACTCAGAAAGGACAAACCAGTGACCTTGAGCGGACTGGTACAATAAATCTGCAGCATGGCTGCAAAAGGCAATATAACAAATGAGGTACTAAATGTCGCCTCATCACATTCCCCGCGGAAAGGAAAATTTTTTGGAGAAGCCAAAAATTGTTCAATAATTAAATCAATAAACTGCACCCCTAAGCATTCATATTAGATAGCACCCCTATCCCGTAAAAATGCATGGTGACAAAATATAGTTAAATACGAAGTTTTGTTGAAAGTTTGAAAGAGAGTTTTAGCTACGATCAATTTTCGTCCTGAGCTTTATCCAGCGAGGATGAGAATGGCGCCTCCGGAGCAGTTAAGTGCGAACGGTCCCGAATGAGAGGTCGCCGTTTAGGTGACTGTGACGATGGTTGGGCACTTGTGGTAGGCAATATGTTGGCCTCATTTTCCGGCGATTTTTCTTCTTCTACCCATTTGACAGAGTGGCGTAATGGGTCGCCAAAGAATTTTGGGGCCCTTTTGTTTCGAGATGAAGTACGAATTCCCTCTGAATCATCCGTAGCCATTTGAGCTGGGATAGAGAGAGATGGGAGCGACGAATATGGGTCTGCTTGAGCACTCTTCCCTGGGAGAACTGGACTTTCGGAGTCGACGACGTCAAGTGGTAGCTGATTTGGACCCGGAGCCAAAGTTGTAGGACTGTGAAATAGAGTTGTAGGGACAACAGGCTGAGTGATGGTCGGAAGAGACACACTAGTATCTATTGAAGACTGGCCCGGTGTTAGGAATGAGTTGCCAAACGTGACAGGCAGTGATTCGTTATGCAATCGTATTCGTTTCTCCATTGGAGTAGATATCCGAGTTTCGTGCGAAGCGTGATGGTCGGGAGGACTCTCATTGGACGAATCAACGGTAAGGTCCACCACCGCCGGTAGCGACAGGCACGTGTTAGCTGGCCGTTTTTCAAGCAACGTCGGATGAGATGCGCGAGTAACAGGTTTCATCCCTCCACTTTTTGATGACGTTCCAGAAGATTGAAGACGGCCACCTAGTGTTGCTGAAAAGGTATTATTGAAGTTAGGCTTAAGGCAGACATGGTTTTTTCGATAAACTTTTCCCTTGTCAGTAACATAGGTGTGATCGGTGATGCGAGTAATTTTGAATTTCGCAAGCTTAAAAAGAGGTTTGCCAGACTGACGATCTAAAATTTATCTAAACACTCTCACACGGTTAGGATCGGATAAAAGGAGTTTTTCTAGTTTACTTGTTTTGGAATGCCGACGGGGTTGAAGTGTCGGTAAACGACGAACAGTATCTGGAGCCCCTGGAGGCGTATTAGCTGATCGGTCTTCCGCGAAGCATAGCGTTTTGCGAGAGAGGCCTGTTTTTAATGACTGGGCCAAATCCGAATGGCGACTCGACAGCTCCTGTAGAACCCGCTTTCCCCCATCTGGCGGGAGATTCCTCTTCTGTTGTGTCCAGTTCTTAGCCGCCCGGGCGAGATCAGCTAGCGCTTTGTACGGTTCACTCTCAGCAATGTTTCCCTCTAGTGAGAACATTGGGTTGAAGCGCGGAGTAATCTGAGGACTGAGACTGCCCCTCGGCACCACTTTGACACGATCCCGACTATAGTCCTGACTGGCAATTTGGTCCGGCGTTAAGAGATTGCGTTCGAGTCCTTGTGCTGAAGAATCAGAATTAACTATATTAAGAAAAGCTTGTGACCATTCAGTATTGGGCTTACGTCCGAAGTGCATTTCAAATGGTGACTTCTTAAGTGTAGAATGATTGTTTTTATGAATATCTTCTATTATTCGATGAATTACTTCTTTAAAATTACCGAAATTAGGGTCCAGTTGTTCAGTGCCTAACTTGCGTTTTATAGTCTGTATCATACGTTCAACGAGACCGGAGCCTCGATGGTCTCCGACTGGAGAAAGGATATGTTTGATGCCTTTACTAGAACAAAATTGTTGTACCATGTCGTTTTTAAACCCAGAGCCGTGATCAGTCCTGATAGAATGAGGTAACCCATGAATTCAGATATAAGATTCAAGAAATTTCGTAACCTTTTTAGCCCCAGTAGTTTTAGTAATAAGTACAGAAGGAAATTTCGAGAAGCGATCGATAGCTACTAAGAGGAATATTTTCACGCCTTTATCATCCAAAATAGGACCAGCAAAATCTAACTGCAGCTCCTGATTTGGCCCCGTCAACTGGGGCAAAGATTGTGCGGAATGAAAAGTTTTAACGGGCTTTAGGTTCCTACCATACAGTGTGCACTCGCGGCACTTCTCGCAGGTGTCGACTATCTGCCGGTTCAAGAACGGCCACCAAATATACTCTGAGGCTGACATCATGGCCTCTTGGCCAGGGTGCGACCGATGAAGGCGGGCAAGGACGGCTGGTCTCAAAACCTCTGGGAAGGCCAGTTTGTTGTCAATTATCACACAGTTGTTGACGACCGCTGCCTTGGGCCAAAATTGGGCCATGTAAGATCCGAGTTTGTTAAAACTGGAAACGTCTTTGCTGTTAATAGCTCGTTTCATCGGGCCCAAAAATCGGTCTTCCTCCCTGAGCTCGGCTAGAAGGTCCGCGTCGAATAAGCCTGGTAGACCCATAATTTCTTTCCTTGACTTTGATACAATGGGTTTTCCACCATTGATTGCGTACACACCAACTTTATCAGCAAGTTGGATTCTCCCCGGTCTTGATAATCGGCACTTCTTCATAGCTTCCAAAAGCTGGTTGTGTCCCTCCCTTCTAGAGGCAGTTCTAGCAGCCACAAATCGGGTCTTCGCCGCACGCTCTCGTGTCCGATTACGTTGGCGCACCTGGTCCAGGCAAGAGATTCGTCCTACTTGACGAGATCTTACTGAAGGGCGCGGGCTCGGCCGACGAAAGTTAGGGGAACTCAAGGTGAAGTTTTCGACAAAAGAGAGAAGTTCTGCTTGATCCTCCATAGAACTGTGTGACGGATGTGATTTAGTAAGGTTAGTTGGTTGAGTTATTGGTTTGTCGTTAGTATGTTCAAGAGCAGAGTGGGGTAATGCAGTAGGATGGGAACCAGTAGGATCAGATGGATTCATGTTGTAGTTGATAGATGAGTGAGATAAAAGAGATTGATTTGAGTTAGAAAAAGATGAGAAGGAATATTTGCAACTATCTTTGAATAATTCAGGTCGGAGACAATGATTCCAGACAAGCGAATTTGGTTTACGATTATTAATTAGCATACAGGTTTCTGATTGGTCAATTTCGTAACAACATGACTTAACGCCCTCACTCGGTGAGAGACCGTACGCGCGAATTTGCATAACGTGATTTGATTGGTCGAGAAAACAGTTTGATTTCAGAGTTTGAGGCACAACGACCTCTTGCGACTGGGAACATATTTTACTAGCCGAATCAAGTATATTGAGTGTATTAATAAATGATAAGGCCGAATTAAAAGCCTCAATAGACTTTACAACAAAAAGTTCATCATAAATTGATGGCGCTGGAGCTGAAAAGGTTGGATGTCGAGAAAGGTAGTCCACAATGCCTAACGTAACCCCAGGCACGTGAATAACTTCGAAGTCAAAGGGTAGTAACCGGTCCGCCCAACGTGAAAGGCGCGACTGATAGGATTTGTTATTATAATTTTCGCTTAGCGCCGAAATGATGGCTTTGTGGTCGGTTAATACTTGAAAACGATTTCCCAACAAATAAGTACGAAAATGTTCGCACGCCCAAACGATCGCCAACAATTCAAGTTCATTCGTACTATATTTTGATTCAGCATTATTTAGGAAGCGTGAGGCAAACGCAGTTGGAGCCCAAACCCCTTGCTCGATCTCCTGTTCCAAACATGCTCCTAACCCGTTATGACTAGCGTCACATTTTACCCGAGACTTTTTTGAAGAATCATAATGGAATAAGTTGGGAATGTTAGCCAACAGGTTTATAATACTCTTGAAGGCATTATCTTGTTCCTCCCCCCAACGGAAAGACTGTTTATTGCATGCCTTTAAAGATTCTCGAAAATGAACGGTATAGGTGTGTAGGTCAGGTAGGAATCGTTGCAAATGATTTAACGTCCCCATAAACGAGCGGAGCTGCTTTAAAG